CGACCAATAAGATCGCACAGGTTGGGCCTCCTCCGGGTGCCGTCGACCGGACAATGCCGGCTGGCGGCTCCCCAAGGGAGGGCCTTCTCTGTAGCTGCACCGGCCCTGTGGAACGATCTACCTGCAGAGATCCGGACCCTTACCACTCTCCCGGCCTTCCGTAAAGCAACCAAGACCTGGCTGTTCCGGCAGGCCTGGGGCTGTTGATTAATATCCAGCCCCACTTGGTTGAATGGATGAAGTATTAATTTTAATAATTGTATCTTTTTAAAATCTTTTAAATGTTATTTTTGCTGTGAGCCGCCCAGAGTCCCAATGGGAGTGGGCGGCATACAAATTTTATTAAACTAAACTAAACTAAACTATGTAATGCATATGACTCTTAATCTTCCCCTTTCTGCCCTATTTTTAATTGTGCTAATTTGAAAGCAAAGACCAGATTGATTTTTAAAGTCGTCTCTGACTGATTAAAACAATTTGACATTATAGAGCCAAAGAAGGCTGGGGGGGGGGGAAGGGGGTGGGGAGTATTGGTTCCATGAATTTCAGAGTTGCTCCCAATCATTGAAGGGCTGAATACAGCTCCTACGGTTTTTCTGCAATTCTGAATTTTTATGAACATTCAGTGTAGTATTTCAAGAATAAAACTGAAAGAAAAAATAGAGCAAGTGCAGATTTTCATAACTAGGAAACCTCTATTTTATTATTGGCAAATGTTCATTTATGGCACATTTTAAGTTTGGAAAAGAGGAGAAAAAGTAGTTTACAGATAGACCCAGCATTATTAAGACACTGTTTGCTTATTGCTTTTAAAGAAGATTCCAAAACATGTTAAATACTGACAACTACCTGATAAAGACAATTATCTGCTACTGTAGTTAGTAGCAAGTTAACAAAAGAGAAACAGTGAGCAAAGGATAAGTAAAGTCATGAAAAGTATGAGGGTGAAATATTGCTATTTTACTCCAACAGTAGAGAATATGTGTCACTTAGGATTGAACTGTTGGGTTCTTGATATGCTCTGAGCTTATTTCTCTGCAGATATTTCCTGCACTGATATTACCTTACCTGATAGTAAAATGTCTGCAGAAATAAAATATTTTAGAAAGATAAAACTGTTCTTAGCCTACAATACAGATTATAAATTCCCCAAATCCAGATAAGGAATGTCCATAAACTTATTTTGCTTTCATTCTAGTGCTCCAGTTGACCGATTTATGCCTTGCCAATATATTTTTTCTGTTTGTGCTAAATTACAAAGAATGCCAAGATTACTAGAAAATGGATGCAGATAACTGCAATTTGCATGAAAAGACATAACCTTATTTTTTATAATACCAGCTAAGATGCCTAGTTTATCCAAAAATGTATCTTTTTTATATAAAGGTGAAGCAATTCTGTTACTCATAATAAACTGATAAGTTTTCATTTGATTTTCTGAAACAAATATGAATAGCAAGGCATAGTGTAGTAAATTAACTTGAGGCAGATGACATAAATAAGAGACCAATTTAGACCAATTTAATATTTAAATTTAATACTTGACTAGGACATCCAACCTCTGTTTAGCCACATATACCTTGTACCTTCTTCCCAGTTCACAAATAAAGTGGAATTGCAAGTTCTTACACACTTCATTTAGTTATATCTAACATATTTTGTTTTTGTAAACAAAATTAGGTCCAGCAAAAATCTTTAAGAAACAATTTAATTGCATTAGAATATATTATCTGATCAGATTTAAATGGGAGAAATCCATGTGACTTTGAGTTAAAAGAGTTAAAACTAGAAATGTATGAATCCTTGAAATATTTTTTGCTTTGATCAAAGCCATGACTGACTCTGGCTGTTTTGCAAAGTGTTTAAAGATCTTTATTTCCAAAAGTTCAGCCCAGCCAAGCTGCCATGCCATTTGAGGGCCTTTAAGAGTCACTTCTGCTGGATCTTCTGGTGAAGCAAAGTAACAGATTCAAGTGAACTGGTCCAACTTGAAGGTTTGATTAGAGGCAAATTGAACATCTTGGGTGTTTTTGAATTACAACCATAATACTGACCACTGTAAATAGTTTAAGAAGTAAGCTACAGCAGCACCATTCACATTTATCACCAAAAACAGTGAAAAAAAGGAAACATTTAAAACCAATTTCTTTCCACAAAAATAATTATTTAATTTCTTTGGTAAAGTGGCAGCTGTAGTACCACTGACTGAATATATTAATATTCAATTTTCCAGTGAGTTGGCTGTTCACAGGTTTTCTCATCATCTCCACAAAATCTGTTGTAAGTTGTTTTGGGGTCAAATCCCAGAATTTCTCTTTCTTCATGAATGCGGAAAGAAAATGTTGAGACTGAGGTTCCTATAAAATATCTGTGAAGAGAAAATATCAGTGGAAAAAGAAACATATTCCTAAAAAATTGCTATCAGTTTTCTATAATCCATTATTAGTTTATTTGTAAAATTTATTGGCCGCTCATTTTATCTCAGGGTAACCCCATTAATGCTGTGCAAATAATAAAAATAATTCAGTTTTGCCAAATATATAGTACATGTTTTAGATTTATCCACACATCTATCAATACAAAATAATAAAGTGGCCATGTTAAAAAAAAATAAAGGAAATAGACCAATCACAATGAATCAAAGTACTACAACCAAAAGTATCAATTCCTACTTCAAATGCTTTCTGAAGTCTCATTTTGAATAGCCTATGGAAAGCTGATAGTGTAGAAATAAGCAAATATAAGTACAGTGATTAGTATGTATCACCTACCACCAAGATCGCCACATTCTGGACTGTATCTGGGTAGTCTTCAAATGTATATCTATAGTCTTATAGAGGTGAAACTCGAAAAATTAGAATATCGTGCAAAAGTTCATTTATTTCAGTAATGCAACTTAAAAGGTGAAACTAATATATGAGATAAGACTCATTACACACGAAGCAAGATAGTTCAAGTTGTGATTTGTCATAATTGTGAGGATTATGGTGTACAGCTCATGAAAACCCCAAATCCACCATCTCAGAAAATTAGAATATTACATGCAATCAATAAAACAAGGATTGTACATAGAACAATATCGGACCTTTGAAAAGTATAAGCATGCATGTGTATTCAGTACTTGGTTTGGACCCCTTTTGCAGCAATTACTGCCTCAATGCGGCGTGGCACGGATCAGCCTGTGGCACTGTTGAGGTGTTATGGAAGACCAGGATGCTTCAATAGCGGCCTTCAGCTCTTCTGCATTGTTCGGTCTCATGTCTCTCATCTTTCTCTTGGCAATGCCCCATAGATTGTCTATAGGGTTCAGGTCAGGCGAGTTTGCTGGCCAATCAACCACAGTAATCCCAGGGTCATTGAACGAGGTTTTGGTGCTTTTGGCAGTGTGCAGCTGGAAAATGGAAGTCAGCATCCCATAAAGCTCGTCTGCAGAAGGAAGCATGAAGTGCTCCAAAATCTCCTGGTAGATGGCTGCGTTGAACCTGGTCTTAATGGAGCACAGTGGTCCAAAGTCCTGTTGCTCAGTGGTACAAAGTCCTCTTTTCTGATGAGAGCAACTTTTACATCTCATTTGGAAACCAAGGACCCAGAGTATGGAGGAAGAATGAAGAGGCCATTCAAGCACAGTAATCCCACGGTCATTGAATCAGGTTTTGGTGCTTTTGGCAAAAGTTGCTCTCATCAGAAGAGGACTTTGGACCACTGTGCTTCATTAAGACCAGGGTCAACGCAGCCGTCCACCAGGAGATTTTGGAGCACTTCATGCTTCCTTCCGCAGACGAGCTTTATGGGGATGCTGACTTCCATTTTCCAGCTACCCACACTGCCAAAAGCACCAAAACCTCGTTCAATGACCCTGGGATAACTGTGCTTGATTGGCCAACAAACTCGCCTGACCTGAACCCCTAGAGAATCTATGGAGCATTGCCAAGAGAAAGACGAGAGACATGACACCGAACAATGCAGAAGAGCTGAATGTGGCTATTGAAGCATCCTGGTCTTCCATAACATCTCAACAGTGCCACAGGCTGATAGCTCCCGTGCCACGCCGCATTGAGGCAGTAATTGCTGCAAAAGGGGCCCAAACCAAGTACTGAGTACATATGCACGCATATACTTTTCAGAGGTCCGATATTGTTCTATGCACAATCCTTGTTTTATTGATTGCATGTAATATTCTAATTTTCTGAGATAGTGGATTTGGGGTTTTCATGAGCTGTATGCCATAATCATCACAATTATGACAAATCACGGCGTGAACTATCTTCTTCGCATGTAATGAGTCTTATCTCATATATTAGTTTCACCTTTTAAGTTGCATTACTGAAATAAATGAACTTTTGCACAATATTGTAATTTTTTGAGTTTCACCTGTATAAAAAAATAGAAGTCCAGGAATAAGGTAAGGAAGTCTCTTGTGGATTTTACCCAGCTAATTGTTGCCAACTCTAGGGAGGAGGGTGCAATACATTGAGCCAGCACTCTCCAAAAACTTTTCTATGGTCATGTTGCCAGCATGATATCATGGAGTGCTGTTACCTTCCCACTGAAGTGGTACCTGTTTATCTACTCAAACTTGCATGGGTTTTTAACTGCAAGGATGGCAGGTGCTGGGGCAAGTGTATGAGAGCGAGAGGTGTGGGGGGAGGAAGATACCTGGCATGTGCACATATCCATTGGTCAATAATTGCTATTCCTCCATCTTTGTAGAGCTCCATTTCCTCCCAAGTAGGTTCAAATCTCACCATCTCCGGAAGAAGTGCTTTTAATTCTTCAACCTCTGGAAAAATACACTCAATCAACATTCTTCAAGTGGCAAATTTCATCTTATCTCTACTTATATTAAAACTGAACCTGGAAGTGGCACCTGGATGTGACCTGATTCCATTAGATATAATAAAGAGAAATGTGGACTGATAGCTTTTATATTAGCAACCAACTGTACAGTTATTGATCAGATTGGGCAAATTCCCATAGATTGGAATGTTGCAATTACTGTACTTATCTATAAGAAAAGCAATAGAAAAGGTCCTTCAAATTATAAGCCAATGTTTGCTCAGAACCATCAGTAAGTTTTATGCCTCATACTTGCAATGGATGATTCACAACAGTTGGAGCAGGATAAGCTTTTGGTCGAAAAGTACTCTGATTTCAAAAAGAACTGATTGGCGACTGACCAATGTATAGTCTTGCAACACTTGGTGGAAAAGTATTTCGCTCTGTCTGTAACCTCTTCTTATGCAGCTTTTATTGATTTAAAATTTGCTTTTCACTCCATTGCATGTTATCTTCAGGAGAAATGGAATGCTTCCTCTACAGAATAAAAAGTTTTTATATCAAATTCATTTATTGTAGGAAAACACATCTGATTGAGTCAGACACAGGGGTAGGACCCTACCGGTTTAACAACAGGTTCGCTGAGGGCTACGTTTATATGTAACATGGGACCATGTTACATATGAAATCATCTTCATCCCATTACATCAGCCTGTTTCACCTGATCAAACAGGGAAGGTATGTTACGGATCCAGGAAGCGGTAAGGCAGGCCCTCACTGTCCTGGCCTTTGAGAAAGAATTGGAAAACAAATGGCTCTGCTGCCTTGCTTGGGGCTCACAGAGAAACACAGCAATGAGCCTGGTTAGCTCCCTAAAACACACTCCACATTTTTAAAGTAACTTTTAACATTGAAGTTGAATCATCCCTGCCAGTTTTTAAATTTGATATACTGTTTTTATATTTTGTTATTTTATTTGTACATCGCCCAGATGCCCTCTGTGAGGGAGATGGGCGGTTTTAAAATTTGGTAATATAAATGAACAAGTGAGTACATTTTTCTTATTGGCTTTCTACTAATGTGCTTTATATAACCTACCTGTTTTATACACTGTTTAGAATATTTTACCCAGGTAAATTTTGTTGTGGTATTAGTTTTAGCTGTTTCTTCTCTTTCTACTTAGTCTTGGTTTGTCTATAATATATTTTTATAGTGTTGATTTTTCAAATTATTGGTTTACAAACACTCATTTATTAAGACAGCACTAAACAAGGGTGACTTATGACTGGTCTACCAAGTTGCAGCTGTTGTAGTGCCCTGCAGTCATATGATCGTAGTTTGGGCACTTGGTAACTGGCTTACAATTACGACAGTTGCAGTATTCTGCGGGCATGTGATTGCCATCTGAAACCTTCCCTTCCAACTTTCCAGAAACCAGCAGGATGTTGCATGTTGCTCCCATTACTTTTTCACCTGCCCATGCCCATAGAGGACATCCATCCATCAGTACTCTGTGCTCCTGTCTGCAGCACCCGTCTGCATTCCACAGCATCTATCCATAACTGATGTGCCTGCAGCTCTCACTCGCAGCTCTTATTCACTGATCAGCTTGCCTGGGATTCCTGCCTCTTCTCACTTTCAACTCATGCAGCCCTAAAGTTAACAAAGGAAACTGGGAATGCTGGGAATGCCATCACTAAGTAATCCATTCCCGATCCATACCCAAGGACTACCTGTAATTCAAGTTCAACGGTACTGGAAAGGAATTGACCAAACCAGGGGGAGGAATCAAGTAGGGGATAAGTCTGTGATCGTTACATAGGCACAAGAGGACAAGTTCTGCTCCCTCACCCGCAATGCCATTGAATCTTATCTAGTCTGGCCTAAGTGCAAATTGCCAGTCTGGGAAGAGTCATGTGAAGTAGGCATGAACAATAAAGTAGCTGATTGAACTCTTCACATTTGTATCTAGTTGTTTGGACCTGGCAATAGTGAACAGATAAAACAGCACTGTCCTACTTTCCAGCAAGTGGTATTCAGAGGCACTGTGCTTCTCATATTGGAAGTTGAAATAACTGGCATGGGACCGAGTTATTTGAAGAACTGCCTGATGTCAGTTATATCTACCTGACCCATGAGTACTGGGAGAAGCAGCATGTTGCATGTTCTGTCTTGAAAAGAGTGTCATCTGATGGAAGCCAGCCTTTTCTGCCATGGCAATGTCCCTTTGGAACATTGTTCCCCTGGAACTAAGACTGGTCCTAATCCTGCTGGCCTTTAGAAGGCCCTGAAGACATGGCTCTGCCAGCAAGCTTGGGCGTCCAATTTTTAAATTGTTTTGTTGAGCTTGGTGCAAGGATGTACAGTGGCCACTGACTAAGTATATTTTTCTTTTCTAAATAGTTTCTGATGTTTTATATGTTTCCATATTGGTTTTTTTAACTTTTTATTGGTTTGTCATTTTAATTGGTTATTGACTAGATAGATAGATAGACAGACACAGACAGACAGACAACTGTTGTGAGTTTCCCAGAATCACTTAGGTGAGTTGAGCAGCCATACAAATCAAATCAATAAAGAGCACTAGAGCATTAGCATAATTTTTTTCCATTTCCCTATTAAAATTGATCCAGGTTGGTAACAATGCATTTCACAGTATTTACTTTTACCTTTCTTAACTCTTCTGAAGTTCAGTTTTCCTGGATAATTCTGGATGCATATTTTATCAGAGGAGTTACATCTTTCTCTTTACATTTATACATGACACGTATAATTTTATATAGAATTACTCATATTATGCAATGGAAATCTACCTACTGACCCCCTTTCTACAATAAAAAGTTGTGAACATTTAATTCTTTCATTAGAAGAAAATTGCTAAACTATGCTAAATTTATTTCAATGCTTTTTCCTGTTCTACAGCATTAAGTTTTACAGTGTACAATATAAAACAAAGTTATAAGTGGATTGAATGTTACAGACTGGATCTCTCTAAAGAATATTGTGGATCATTGTCTCATTAAAACATTAATTTTTCTATAGTTTTGTTCTCAAAGGAAATAAAACTATTCTCAATGGTTCGTTGAATTGCAACAGGGGCAACAAAAACAAAACACAACAGAAACTTCATGATTAATGTCCTGAAGAAGTTGGCACACTAGTGATAATTTATGAAAAATCAAATATGGATCCTTTTAGGATTTCCTAGTTCACTATATAACAAGACCAGTATGAATTGCATGGTCTAGATTGCCATACAGTACTGTGTTTGAGGCCACAGCAGACCCATACCACACACAAAATGCATTTTACACAATTATTTCTTGTATTATCTTGTTTAACTTAAGTAAGGAAGTGACAATAGAGGCAGCTGTTGCCCACTGAGAGGCAACTTAAAATATCCCAGTAGATATGGTAGTCTCTTATGCTCCTGTACTTGGATTAAAGCTAAAACTTTTCAAATATATCTTGCAAATTATTTTGTCTAGCAATGATTTTAACTTTGGTGCAGATTCATGTGCACAATATAATGCTAAATGAACAGATTTTGTTTGTTACATAATCAAAAATATTTTGCTAATTAGGGAGAAAAATACATACCCTGCACGATGGCATCAGTAGCTACAAAAACCTTCTCCAGCTTGTACAACTTTTTGAGGTTGTGGATTTTCTTAACTGCTCCCTGAATGCTGGGCACATCACTTCTGTGACCCCAGATGAAGTCTTTTCGTCTGAGATGAACACCAAGATATGGACCACCAATGGCTGTGCCCAGTTTTACCTAGCACATAAGAACCAGTACATGCTGAAACTGAAATAAAATGGCATTGATTCAGTAAGAATATATCTCTACTCTTGAACATATTTTCTGTAACACTCCTAAAGGATAAATTTGATGTATTTGATAAAGCTTTCAATATTCATAAATTGTCAGTGTACATACTGGGTTTGTATACAAGTTTTTAACAATAGCTTCAACTAGGAAACTCTGCATATTGCTTCCAAATGTATATATATATAAATATACATATTAGAGAAATCCTTCATCTACGTGGAGAAAAATTTCATACTTGAAGATTTTATGTGCTTACAGCACATGCATCTACTTAATCCTATGTATACATAATATATTATATTATTTATTATGTAAACCACTTTCAATTGTGAGAAGTAAGGGTAATGTAAAAATGTCACTATCAGTTGCTAGTAAGAAACCACAAGTAATATTGCTGTCCACTCTTCAGCAATGCAGGCACTTCTACCCAGCTATACTCTTATCAGTTAAGTGTGATTAGGACGTGTTCAGATATATGCTGTTTTTCATATACAGTCTTCAGTGGTAACAGGCCTAAATATATTGCCTTTGAAAGAAAAATGAATCCTTCAGCAGATGTATGTATTTCCAGAGCTGAAAGCCATACAGATTTTGCAAGAATTCTGCATTTGTAAATCCAGTATCTGCCACATTACTCAAAGTTAAGAAATTCTTACCAACAGAGTGATATCTTTTGAATAAAGGCTGTCTATCTGACTTCTTGTAAGCATTATAGGAACCCTTCTTGCAAGTACCTATCAGGCATAGGGATGTTTTTTTGCTTCTAGAGAAATTTGGCCATTGAAAAATATAGTAGAGAGTGTTTTAAAAAAGGACTCTGCTTATATAATCACAAAATTCTATTACTTTCTTGAGGAAAATAGAAAAATGGTACTTAAGTCTTCACAGACATGAGAAAGTTATGGCATTTTTGCATTCTACTTTTAAATGCTGCTTTTATTTAATCTTGCTTGTGCCAAGCTAATCTTTCCTCAGACAGAAGAAGCATTCAGTCTTTCTCTCTTTTACCATAATTTTTTAAAAACAATATAATTTTTAAGCATCTATTATTGGATAAGCCTCATTTCAGAAGTTTAAAATATTATTAAATAGATAAAACACTCTACTTTCCTTGTTGTAATTATAACTGCACAGAACTGATAGCAGTCTGTTTTTCCTATTTCATGATAACATGTCCTTAAGACAGATCCTTTTTTTAAATAAACCAAGTAAATAAACTATCTTTCTCAAACAGTGGAATTCTTTCTTGAGCTATTTTTCTGAGCATAAACATCCAAAGGAAAAGGAATCATGCATAATGAACTTCTAGGATTAATTAAATATTTAAATGAAATGCACAGCAGCCTAGCAATTTATATCCTGTTTCAAAAGAAGAAAAGTTTATTTGGTTATCGTAGGTAGACAAATTAAAGCCTACATTAATGTAGTAAGGACAAGAGTGGGAGGCATGGGCAGCATTTGATGACTGGGATTAATGTTTTTTAAGTAGTAATTGCAGGCCATTTGTATGCAGTGGTGCTGCATGAGATTGAGATGTTCTGTGTGTCTCCCCCCCCCCCCCAAATTGGGATAGGAAGGAATAGATTTTAAAACTCTATTTTTTCATCCCTTTTCATCTCAAAATGATAGGAAAGCATGCCACTAATGTTTGGTCATTACAGTTGGAAAACTCAGAGCACCCGAGATTGCCCTGACTGTTCATCACATTTTGTTTATTGTACCATTCACTTTAAAGGATAATGCATGTCTTTGACAAGAGGAATGATGTTTTGGTAAGTAATACATTCGTGTTGAGTCATGGCTATTTTTTAATCAGATATTACTTATAAAAATCCCAGCTCCATACATCAATAGAAAATCGAGGTATGCGATCACTGAGGGTATAAATAAAACTACTGGACTTATTTCCTTTTCATTATTGAAGAAATAAGTAAAGAATATTTGACCCATGTACATGGTCAGTCTTGTTGCTCTTGAATTGGGACAGTCTTCAAGTTGTAGGCGATTCAGGATGAAAACGTGCCATGCGATTAATTTATGAGCCTCTCTTTTTAACTATAATTCCTGTCAGAATTTTATTATGATTTTTAAATTAAGTTTGACTTAATTATCTCTTTTTAAATATCTACTGTATTGTATCACTGAAATGGGGCGAGATCCTTCCATAGAAATATAAGTAGTGAGAAAATTTGGAGCAAGTAGAAGAAATATTTCGTATATTCTTCACCCATAACACATTAATCCAGTGCTCACTTTCTATATCTTACAGTTTAAGCCATCTACCTGAATTTTAGTAACCAGTGAACCAGTGATGGGATATGACCAGTATGCCCTGGTACGGACGTACCGGTGCCTGCTAGGAGCACCAGGTACCGTTCCGGTACAGTGCTCCGGAGGGCCCACCTTTTTTACCTGAGCCGTTTGGGGCTCATGCGCACAGAGCGTACAGCGCATGTGCGACGCTCCACTGAGCAGCTGGAGCGTCGCGTAGCAGGCAGTAAGTACGTATGTGCACGCTGCGCGCCTGCATGTGTTGGACGCCTGGCCCCGTTGCACTGTACTGGTTGCACCGGGATCCGGAACCCACCACTGCAATGAATGTAATAAAATGAAGGTCTGCAATAGTTAAATTAAAAATAAATCTATACATTACTACTGTAACACTCTCTACATGGGGCTGCCCTTGAAGAGCACCCGGAGGCTTCAACTGGTCCAGAATG